GATATGAACGCAGATTTAATATAGGCCCATAGAATTACGGGGACCGGCAAGGATTTGGAAAGTCTGAATGCAAGTCCTGCTTACACCTAACAAGTGCTGAAGTGGGACATAACCAGAGGTAGAAAGGTCTCGGAAGCACTTGGGAAGAGGCTTCCCAAGACCTATCCAGTTCTGAACGGAGAGACCTAAGTAGAATTTGTCAGGTCCAATTATTCGACTCGGGTTTGCTTTGTGGTGACCGTCTTGGCTGGAAGGTTTTTTACAAGTATTTTTAGACCCACGCCACTGATGTTTGAGATACTGTCGGTCTGTTAGACCGATCAAGCCCAATTCTAAACCTGCTATTCCCGAGAACTAATCATCTGGCACATCAGACTTCCCAACCGGTCATTAGTCATTTCTTTCGCCCCGTACAATTTTTTCCTGGGATTTCATCAGCCTTTACCAACTTATATCGCCTGATCATGCCACAGAAATGTTTGTAAAACAGGACTCAATAGTTTGCAGAGGAAATCCTTCGGTCAAAATCTTTTGATAAGGAGAGGACACTATATAGTTCTGTAACTTCTTTTTGCTTCCGAATGGACGTTTTGTAATCGTTGGTTTTGACGATCTTCTAATTTTGCCTGGACGTAATGTCATGAAACGTGAACCCATCAGCTAACAATTTACCGGTAAATTTCCGGATATTTATCGGTCTTGCTGGAAACTGTTAGATGGCATCCGTAAAAATTGTTTCCTGATGTTTTTAGAAAATGTATGTATCTGCGGATATGTGTGAGAATTTTTCGGAAAATTTTTATAAATCTTCACAGAAAAAGGACTAAAATTGAAGCTACAAATCTGAAATTTTGTCACATAACTGTTATTACTTTGGAGCACTTCTGAGCGTAATTTCGACTCAATCGGTTACTTAGGCTCTGAAATACAGCAATTTCTCAAAAATCTTTTTGCCTCAATATCTCGAGAACTACGTGATTGAATTTAATCTTTTTTTTCAAAATAATCGTCTTGTGCCTCCTATCAAGATCAATCAAACTACGAATACCTGTTCACACAAAGTTGTCGAGATATTCACGTCGTTCTAATTTTTTCATTTCAGAGATAATGCGGCGTTCGATAATATGCGTAAAACTCGGAATGAACATCTGAGATTCTAGCTACTAATCAATATTATTAAAGGAAAACGGAACCCCCCTGTGTCTATATGAACATTTAGAATTGTTTTCTCCTACAATTATTATCATTTATTTATGAAACTATTTCATTGGCTGAACAATGCAGTGATCGAGGCAATAAAGTAATTTCATAGATAAAAATTAATAATTGTAGGAGAAACCTATTCTAAAAGTTCATATAGACACTGGCGTCCCGTTTATCCTTAAGTCACACTTGTGTATAAAATTTTGTGTCTATCAATTCAATACATCCTGGTATAGAGCAATTCATTCAAAAATCTTTTTTTCACACATCGTCAAATCACACATTGTGATTTTGTCGATTATTTTTGGTTACTCTCGACTTGTTTTATCATTATTTTACACTGCTCTGACTTGGTTTTGAGTATACACTGATAGACTGATTCATTTATTTCAAACGAGATTCGTTGACTATTAACGAATATTCATTTGGTCATATTGAATTCTACCGTTCGTTAATAGTTAACGAATGATTCACTTGAAAATTGACAATCGAATCAAACAAGGCTCTTCACGCACGGAAAAATGTAATAGAAAAACCTATCGAATTCGTTAGAAAATTCTATTGAATTTCTATTAATCTTTCTATTAGTTGTTAGCTGATTCTATTGACATGTTCAATAGAAAAAGTCAACAGAATTCGATTTTTCTATATAACTTATTCTTTTCATACATTTTCTAGAGAAATTGCTCGACTCAAATTTTCTAAGTTTTTTTCATTCTATTTTTATTTTCTTCTCATCAAGAAAATCAAACGAAAAAATAGAAAATTCAAGCCGAGGAAATTCTATAGAAAATATGTCAATAGAATAAGTTATATAGAAAAATTGAATTCTATTGACTTTTTCTAGTGGATATTTTCTATTGAACATTTCAATAGAATCGGCCAAAAACTCATAAAACAGTTCAATAGAAANCATTAAATTTTTTCGCCCGTGCTCGAATGTGCATTCGTTAACTATTAACGAATAAAATATTTGGTGAGACAGAATAGACCCTCGTCTCCAACGAAATCCACTCGTTAACAATAACTAATCCTTTCCATCAGTGTACTGCAAAATTTTATCAAGACTTTAAATGGTTAAATCGCACGATTCTACCCGCCCGAAGTACGAACTCGGGACTTTGAGCATATGAACCAACGAACTTAGTCACTACGCCAATCTAAATCGAGTCTTCGGGTTTTCTAAATCGAGTCTAAAAAAGTCGAGTAATCATTGACGAAACTACCCCACGTCGATTGACCCACCAAACAAACTCAATTCGATTTCATGAGCTCGTAAATCCACACGGAATCGGCTGTGACGTTACGATGACGAGCGAACCGATCATGAGATAAAAAATCGTGAATTTGCAAGCAGTTTGTTTTTCTGCACAATTTTTTTCGTCAATGTTTGATTTCAAACTGAATGACGAGGCATTATAGATTACAGTTCCGGGGAATGACAATGTAGTTATTGTGAAAGCGTAAATTATCAGCGTCAAAACACGTGCTGATTGGCTTCCAGTGAGAGGGATCGACGATGGTTGTATCACTGAGAATAAGACTCGTTGCAGATCATGTTGTTCTTACCAAGCGAAAGGTCTCACAAAACTGATGAGAACAGAAGAGCCGACTGTTCAATCGATATTTCTCAATTATCATTCATTGGAAGGATTTGTTCTTTAGTTAACAATAACAAATGTCAGTGATATTTTTGCGATAACAGTTGTGATTTCCTGTTTATCTGTTTTCATTAATTTTTTATTACAATTTTTTTCTTTTTGTTTCTAGGTCGTTGAAACATTGATACAGTACAAATCTAGAGATAATGGTGAGTTCTACGTTTATATCACGTTTTTTCTTTTCTATTATAATTGGAGTTTGGGGAAAAATGAATCGTCTTTAATCATCAAAAAGTCAGGAACGACAGAGTTCTAGAATTCCAAGATTGTTTTCATTCTCGAGGTATTTTTTAAGCTTCAAAATAAGATGTGATTCTTCCAAATAGATTACTTGCACAAGATTACTTGAAGAAGTAAAGAATTTAGACGAATTAGTTGTTAAACTTGCGAATGAAAGAAAGTTTTAATTTTCTCTATTAGTAATGAATGCCTTAGCCAAATTTTCCGTTTTCTTTCATTAGCAAACATTAATTTTATTCTATTGACAATTGTTAACAGAAAATAATTAACAAGAAAACACGCAAAAAGAACATACGAATATCAAAATAAATAATGAATATCATCTTTCTCGTATTTCTCCTCGTTTTGTTGAAGCCATATTGAGGGGCTCACAGACTAATCTTTGATGGAAATATTCTTCTGTGTACTCTCCCCTGTTGGTAAATGGAAGAATGTTTGTTATCATACGAAATTTATGACGGAATGAGCTGATGAATGGTTGTGAAATGGTTATTCTATTTGCAGGATCACAATAACAAAGTGCCGACCGAGCTCGACGAGTTTCTGCCAACGGATGGCTCGAATTTCAAGGACGGAGTCCTCTCAGCTAAGTGAGTATTTCACTACTTAAGTTTATTTAATCGGCCGAATATCTACAGTGGGTGATTTCAAGGGAAGATGCGAAAAGGTCGTTTTGTGGTTGATAAAGTTGTGAATTGAAACGGTACACGGAAAAAAGGAAACGGTGAGAGGTCTGAGTTCGCAGGATTTTCGTCTGAGAATTATACGAGTGAACGGCTTCATCAGGAAAATCCCGTCATTTTCCCTGTGGAACACAGAGGAATATTCCGTTTTCCATCGTTCACTATTTGAATATTCAAAAGGAATCAGAACATACGGTGGAAATCATGAGAATTTTTGGAAAATTATAGCATTACCTGAGGCATCATCCTCTTCGTCGCAGGAAATATAGAGAAGAAACATCAAAAAATATACTTGAATTGTACTTGAAATATTCTTGATTCAAGTATATTATTCTTGATTCGAGTATAAACTATACTTGAGTCAAGTATATTTTATACTCGAATAAGGGATGGGTATAATTTCATGCTCACACTGAGAGAAAGAAGTCTTTCTTTGTCAAAAGTAGTTTAGATATAAATGGTTTTCTCTACATGCATGATTCAATAAATGCGACATTTTTGGGTTTATGGATATATAAAAGCGCTTTAACGATGTTTTCTTATTGGAGTGCTACGCTCGTGTAGATCTCAAACGAAATACCGGTAATCCCAGGTTTCTCACGATTTAATGTTTTTCCTTGCATCTTCATGATTTCGCTAAACATTCTTACTAAGATGAGTCATTGTTAACCGTGAAGCGGTCAGAGAAGCTGAGCCAAAAAATTATACGCAGATGATTCTGCAAATATATTTTTTTTAGAAAACATAAATATATATTTTTTTGTGTATGGAACCTTCTGCATACGTCAAAATACCCCAAAATGGCGTTGATTGACTTTGAATATAAACCGTATGAAGTGAATTTAAATGTATACTTACCCTAGTGGAAAAACATAAGGTGGAGGCATAACATGCCTGATCAGAATTTCGCATCGGACTTGATCAGTTTCTGATCGAGACCTGAACAGAATTTCCACTGGGGTATATGTTATACATTTTTTTGATAGATAATCGAAGTAGTTTTGGGATGCTTTGACCAAATTCGCGGACTTTCGAAAACAAAATTAAAAATAAAATAGAATAGGACGAAACCCAACTTGTATGACAGCTCAAAATAATTGTATTGATTATAAGAGTTCCTGAAAAAAAGATTTAAAAAATTAAGATTACATAATTTTCAAAATTTAAGTTTTCAAATTTTTTGTTGAAAATTTGATATTATGAGCACCTAGGAATTGGAAAAAAACCAAAATCTTCTTATAGATGGTACAAAACGGAAAATTTTGAGCCGTTATAAATTAAAATCGGCTGAATAGAACCCGATTTATTGAAAAAAAAACGAAAACACAAATAAAAAATATCTCCGAAATGGGCTGCCGAAAAAATCTGACAAAAATTGAGTTTTTTTAGCCCCCCAATCGTAGGAATAATTGAGAACAATTTCCAAAAGGGTGAGGGTCAGCCGTTAACTCATTTGGCATGAAATACCTCATGTGCACAGCAAAAACCAATGATTGAATTTCACACACCTTTTGTAGACATTTTTCAGACACTAAAAAACGTCTGAATAAAATGAAAATTTTTCTGAATTTCAAACGGATTTTAGGACAGTTTTTCCTCGGACAAAAGCCCCATGAAAAAGGAATTTGCGATTAGGAAACCGGATCCGGCCAAAATAAATATAACGATAATGCTCAATTAAAGAAGTTTTTATTACTGAATCGCAGAATAGAACACATGAAATTATCGAGTGTTTAGCCTCAGTGAAATTACAAAGGAACAAAGGTAATAGAAATGATAGGGAACACGTAACAATAAATACTTGGGAATTATTAATACATTTCTCCTATGCCACACCGTCAAATCGCATAATCGCAGTAGCAAAGTCATGAACATAAATCTCTTGCAAAACCAATTATTCACAACAAATCATCAGGACAAAGAATTTAGTAGGACGGGGAGATTTTGTCGGGAGAAATTTTTTTGAGAGAGATTTTGTCCGGGAAATTTTGTCCGGGACATTTGAAACGTGAATTAAGATGTTTGCGCACCTGTTCGTCTGAATTTCAGACACATTTTCATTTTATTCAGAAGTTTTTTAGGTTTGTGTAGGTTTGACAACAATTTGCTTACAAATTATTTGTGTCCGTCATCTGTAGTTAGAAAATTTGTGCGTCACCGTCATTTTTATCTCTAGTCCAACGTTTCGTTGAGTATTTATATGTGCATTTTCCACAGCTTGTCCAAAATATACGCAATAAGTGTTTTCCTCTTTATCTTGGCTCGGCTTAACCCAGTTCTCAAGTTTTCAAATTATTCGAGTAATATTATTGTTTCTAGAGTGGATAAGTTGTTATGGTTGTAGGGAATTATCTGCTTTCGGCGAGTTTAGGACTAATATAACACGATCCATACAAAAAATTCTGCTTCGAGCAGAAGTCGAGGCGGCACTTTGTATCTGTTATATGGGTTGTGCTCCCCCACAGACATTTGAAATATTTTTGGATTATTGCTTTCAGTTTGATAAGAACTTATGAGATTTCATTGTAGTCATAGCTTAGACAGTCCCAAATGCCTATTTATATCAACTGCCTTAGATGTGCTAAGGCTCATGATTAGTATGATAAGAGTCATTTTGAATGGGACAAATGTATATTGGATTGTTTTGTAAATTGATTGAGCGGCTATTAATGGTTTTATTATTACTAGTGATAATGTGAGTAATGAATGTTAATGTCATTACATTCCTAAGAAGCAGAGTAGAATAGTATATTTCAAACCTAGGGAGGGAAAATAAAGGATCCTCAGCCGCCAGTGCAATTACCAGCCGAGCCGAAGGCGAGGTATCCAGTATCGCTTACAGAAATCATAAAAATTTTTCTTTCTCTTCATCAGTCAAGGAGCCTTCTCAGTGGTTTTTGAAAATGCAGAAAAGGAGCCTTTGAACTGAATTTTTCACATGAAAATTATTAATGAATAAGAGAAATTATCTGACAAATTTAGCTAAGTTTTATGGAGTTTTTAATTAAATACAAATATAATTTAATTAAATGGGCTTTTAATTGAATATTAATGTCTCGTTATGAAGGCAGACATAATGATAAAACTTCTTCAGTTTTTAAATAATTTCTTCTAATCGTTAATAATGATTTTGTAAAAAAATCAATTGGCTAACACAGTTCCCTGTTTTTCGAAAACCAACTCCAGTTGGTCACTTACAGATGGTGAGAATTTCGCAATGTTCTACACGGAGAGAAAAGTTGGAGAAAAACTATCTAAAAAATCTCTACAAATTTTACTGTATGAAAAGTGAAAATTTACTGTAGTGTTTAGAAAAAAAAACATCCTTCTGCGTTATTGGAATTAGTACAGTCGAGGACTAATGTTCGTAAACAGAATACATAGAATGCAAGTTCAGGCTGTTCACGAACTTTAGTGCTCAACTGTACATTAGAGTACAAAATGGGACTTTCCGCCATTGGTTCACAAGACATTACTTTCCCGTCTAATAAAGGAATGTAATGAATTATCATGCATCTGTCGATCTCTGATTTTTACCTCCGAAAACGGAAAACATTTATTTTTAGAAAAAGGAATTCCGTATATTAAAGTCAATGTTTGAATAAACGCAATGCAATAATGTTATCCTTTTATTCGCAAATCAGATATGCTTGATTTTAAGCACATGTTTTCCCTATTGAGCATTATCTGGAAGACATCAGATAATCACGAGCGATTATCACAGTGCCGAGGGATTACAGTAATGACCATAATCACGTGAAGAAATTTCCGGGCCGAATTCTGTGGTATTGGAAAAATGATATTGTCGTTTAATGAATGGGAAAACTTGAGGATGGGATTTTTATTACTGAATGAGGGAGGAAGGGATTTTGGGTCGCTTCAATGACGGAGGTGTCCCCTGATTGGGAGAACGCTTGAAAATTGGAGATAAAAAAAACAAGATACCACTAACGAGTTTTCAGTATTTAAGGAAGCGTAATGGCGTCTGCAGTTAGTTGTTGAACTGATTTTGAAGAGTAACAATCATGATGGAGGAATCAAGACAGTGCGACCTGATAGAGGAAGACGAGTAATTGAATTTTTTGCTATTTAAAAATCATGTCGTGTTGAAGTGCAGTTAATTCAGTTGAATACACAGAGGAATAAGTTTTAGTTATTAAGGATCTGCGGCATTCGAAAATTTAAATGGAGTGATTTTGTCACCAATTTCCCGTGGCATAATCCTCAATGTCAGGAATTTTCTCCCTAAACCTCAGTGGTTGTATTTTAATAGAGCTGCGGAAACCCAGAAAAAGTGTTTGAAAATTGGTGAACTGACCAATCTAATTGCTATTTTTTTCTTGAACTCGATACAATAATATTAAGGATATCCAAGTACTTTGGATATTTTTTCTACAGTGAAATGCTTTTCTACTTTTATAGTCAATCATTTGAGCCCCATTGGATCCTAAGTTTCCCGACATTTTACGAGGATTTTATTATTTAAACTTTGCCGGTCTGAATTTTAATCTCCATATGGAACTGTCAGAAAAAATTGTAAAAATCTGAAAAAATGAGAAAGTTTACGTTTGGAGTAAGATTGATGAAATAATTAAAAACTTATGAAATAATTCATGAACTAATTCAAAACGCTCGTAATTGTTTAAAATTACCAACGTTTTCTATAGGGGAGGTTGGGGTAAAATGGACCCTTTTGACTTTTTTAAAAATATTAGTGACAGATTGAAATGTTGATGAAATTCAATCATTTTGTTTTTCAAAGAACAATTCTTTCCCTTTGTGATGAGCCTAAACTGAGCAATATTGATACATTTGTTTCTGAGTTATGAATAATTTAAAAAAAGTTTAAAGTGTCCACTTTACCCTACCCTCCCCTAAATAATTTATAAACAATCAATTTTCCACCATAAAAATGATCTATTCAGAATCGCTACAAAGTCATTCATATTCAGGATTTTACCAGACATCGATTTCATTCCTAAAAAAGCAATGGTTTCCGAAAGTTTAAACAATTTCAATGATTTATATATAAACAATGAATGTTTAAAAAAGTAATAATTCTGTGCAAAATATAATTTGAATGTTCACGTTTTTTTTTAAATTTTGTGCGCGCAATTTAATTGACTAATTTAATATTTGAAAATGGTTGAATCTATTATAAAAATCATTATAAAAATCATTTCTTATTCAAAATCATTTATTTTCTAATATGGACATATCCTGAAAAACTGAAATTTTTTCTTCTCTGAGCATTATTAGTGAAATTATTGATGTAAATTATACATTCATGTTTAGTTCCGGCATTACTTTAGTCAGACATTTGATCACAAACACGTTCCATTCAAATGAGATTAAGTCATCAATTCCGTTGATTAAAAATTTCCCTAGACCCACAGTTTTAAAATGGTGAATGAACATGTAACTTTATCCTACCCTCTGAATAACTGTGGGAAGAAATGATCAATTTTCGCATAGTACCTATCTACATCGAGGAGGAAAATTATCAACTATAGGATATTGTTCACAATTCATCAGTAATTTTTACGCATTTGCTGAAATGAACTTCATGGGATTGGAAGTTGTAAGTGGTGTTGCGAGGAAGATAGTCGAATTAAAATATATTTGGAAGAAAATAGCATCGGAGGGTGTAGACGCGGTCGTCGTGAAATTCCTTGATTGTGAATTCGAGGAAACAGTACAGAATGTGATATTTCATACCGTGCAAATATTATGATTGATATCTTCAGTCAACCATGTCTTTCAAAATATTCCGAGAGAATTCGAAAAGAGATCATTTTCTTGTCATAAAATACTAACTATTTATGTAAAAAACCTAATCGGCTATATTTGGATAAATAAATAATCATAATAATACTAAATATTTTCCGCAAATTCGGAAACAATGGAACGTTGTTAATATTTTTCTTGCTATTTTACATGAACGGTACAATTTTCTGTATTAAAAAACGAAAACAAAACGAATTTTTAAAAAACTAGCGTCTAGTTGTTCTTATACACATTTTTCCAAAAATTTTGAAAAAAAAAACAACCTTTGTAGCCCATAAATTGGAGGCCGCGGCCTATTTTAAAGATTTGAAACGTCTGCAGGGCAGACAAACAATAAACAATTTGTTTTTAGACATATATAATTAGTGATCACTCGACAATCATTACATTTGTAATATTTTGTAATATTATAAAAATTTGCACCTTTCTATTACTATGATTTTATTATCTTACTTGAAATTTGAAAATATTAAAATAATTCATAATTCAAATTTTCTATTAACTATTGAGTAAATGATTCTAAATTTCATAAAAGGATTTTTGAATTAGACATGTAATGGTTAAACTTCTGATGCGATTACTGGTTGATAGATTATTTCGGAATTTGAATATTCGATTGATGAATAATTGAATGGTAGGGGAGGGTAGGGCAAAACGGACCACTGATAGAAAATTGATTTTTTTTTTTTTTTTTTTTTGATAGTTTTTGCTTCCGAATGGAAGAAACAACGAAAATTCAAAATCATTTGTGGTTTGAGGTGATTAGCTAATCTGATCAAATTGCGGTTCAACGACACTTCTTGTCTATTAAACCCCTGTGACGGTTATGATCCTAAAACTCACTTTCAATTCAACACATTCAGTATTCCTGATTTGAAGGAAAGAAAAAAAACAAAAATTACCGATTTTCTGTCAGTGGTCCGTTTTACCCTACCATCCCCGACATTTGAAAATTGTTGGGTAATATTATCAGTTAACAGAAGCTAAATTTTAACTTATTTTGAAATTGATGATTCTGATTGATGGTTCTGATCCCCGTATATAATCGATCTTCAATGTATGAAAAATGTCACTCCAATTGCCCGCGACTTTGAAAATTCATAGTAGTCGCCCCTTAAGCTTTTTTATATCTGCTTTGTTGCCACATCGTAGTCATGAGACACAACCCAGGGGTAGCTGAAAAGTCTTTTTACATGTTTCAAATTCACGGAGCTTCTATAGAGATGAAAAATTCATTTTTTATTCAACAGACTACAATAACGTGATTTCAATGTGTTGGTCACACAATTGATCAAGTGATTTCGAAAGCATTCCAGCCCATCAGTAGCTATCTGTACAGGTATTTGCCCAGGGCTATCACTTTTTCGATTATCACAAAATTTTAGTTGGGAAAACATTTTTGGTAATGTATCGTGAATCTAAAAACAACGGTCAGTTGTTCTTGGGTTGTCAATGTAAATTCTTCAGTCGAGTTCAGCAGAATTAGTTGAACACAATTTACGCTGCGGGCGCGGCAGTTTTTCGAGTATTTTCTTTTCCGTCCGTTCGGTTGTTTCTAAAAATTTCACGGTTTAGTTCATCATTATGAGGATTGCACCTTAAAATTATCAGTTTCTAGAGAAAAATCATTGGGTACCTCGCCGTTTCCTCGGGCTGCAAACTCATATTCGCCAGAAAAATTTTTTTTTGCCTAATGAGGAAATATACTATTATTATTTCAAATAATAGATTTATCAGTTTTGTAATTATTATATTTTATTAGAAAACATCAATTATTATTATTACAGGTATATGTATACACTACTGTATATCGCCACCGTCCTCCTTACGGCAAATAATATTAAAAATTATTATTATATTTTACTGGAAAAAAGCGGTTGAAGATGAAGAGGGGTTCCTTTCGTTATTACACGAAGAAAATTTGGCAAACTTAGACAACATTCATTTCAAATGGTCGCCATCACTTACACTGTTGAATAACTCGAAAACTATTGGTACATGATTGTCATTGTACGAAAGAAACTTGGGAAATTAAACTACAGGTCCCCTCAAGAGGCCATCGGTAATTGTATAATATTCCAAGTTCAAAACTGACACCAAGATTTGATCGAAAAAGCAACAACAATGCATTAAACCATATAATCTAAACTGCTCCTGTGGGACAATACGCTATTCAGTCCAGTCATATTTCAAGGGTCACCCTGTAAAAATGAAACATTTCTCTTGAATACACTGAGAGAAAAACAAACACGCTACCAAAAAAGTCTTGTTTGGGCCAACAAAATCGCTAGTTGAAAATTGTAAAAAAAGAATTTTTTTGGTTAGAATTTGAAAGTCTCAAACATGAATAATTGTTCTGCTTTCGACAGCAACGAAATATTTGGCTCAAGAGGCGGATCATTCACACCAGACGGTGCCTTCTCAGGATGAAAATATCTTATATAGAGGAAAATTCGTCAACAAATATTTTATCCCTAACTTACAAGATTGCTATCATATCATTATTATTGTTTCATTTAAGTGTTCATTTCTTGTCTGTGATTATTAGACAGCCAAAATACGTATGGGAGTATCGAATAACGAAGGAGTAGTGCTAGAAATGACATTTCTTGCGTGTACACGGAGAGAAATTTTCTAGAAAAATTCTAGTACGAGTACTCGAAAAAATTACAATCCACTGGCTGTAAAAAATTCTAGTGATGTTAAGGTAAAATTTCTTGGTATTTCTGGTAAAATTTCTGGGGATTTCTGTGAAATTTTCACAGAAATACGGGGAAAAATTCACGTTTTCTCCAATAAAATTTCTAGTGCTGGCATTGGAATTTTGTCCTGGCCGTCACTTTGCGCCTCTTTTCCCGTGCTAGCACTAAAATTTTTCTAAAAAATTTCTCTCCGTTCACAGAGAATGAAATTTTTTTTGAATGACTAAACTCTCTTTTTGCGACAAAAATTTTTCATTCCGGCGCACTCTCTCCATGTCTGGCGCAAAAAATCCTTTTTTGATAATTTTCAAAAAACTATTTTCTTGGCACAAGTAAGACTTGTTTGAGAACTTTGTCGTTTTTCTCTCTGGTGTAAGCAAAAATTCTTGAATTCATAAAAATTTCAAATTATGTAAGAATTCTCTACAATCACGTTTCATAATCACATAATGATTCCGGAGAAATCACTAATTTTTTATTGTCTCATTTAAATAACTCAGTAATTTTCAATTCAATTCACTGCATCTCCATCCATTTCATTGTATTTTGTGATTTTTTATTTCTCCCTTCCGGTTTTACGGTGCTTCTTTTTCAGTTTTTCATTTTTGCTTTCATTTTTTTTCACTTTTACTTTCTTCACGTCTGTGAAACATCGTTTTTACCATAAGTGTTCCCTCGTGGTCGCCCGCTCGTAATGAAATGACAATAATTGTCTTCAATGAAAACGTGAGACACTGTCCTAGGATATTAGGCTGCAAGCGCAACCGATCCTCTCCAACGACGCAGTAATCCCCGGTATTCAATTGACAGAATCCAATATCCATCACGATCAGTCATATCGATTGATCCATGTCGCTAGTGGCAATTAATAAACTATGTCAATCATCCGGAGACCCATATTTCTAATGAATCATTAACGTTTAATCTCCAATTAACGCATTTCTTCATTTTTATTTTTATAGATACAAAGTACAAGTCACGCCGAGAGATGCCGAGGTTGGGCTCACGGGGAAGGAATTCAACCCGTTTACTGAACGCAGGCATCCTAATCCAACAACGTAAGTTCATTTAAAAAATCGAGAATTCTTTAAGAAAAAAAAAAATTGTTTGAGTAATTTTTCCTTATAACGTGCGAATAATGGAAAATGGATTCAAGAACTTCATTTTGTTTACAGGGATTTCCTCAGTATAATATGAATAAATAATGGAACTTGCATACAGTAGTATGAATAAATTTCAGTTGCATCGTTGAGTGTAAGAAGGAAGAATTAATTCAAAGCGCCCGAAAAAAATTATTTATCGTTGATTATTTTTCCAACACAAATATCGGGCAATATAATTGGCCCATTCGACATCACGTGGTACAAGCTACAGGGTTTTGAACTGATAATTTTCTAATAATTTTCTCTGGTAGTTGCTATATAAAAAACAAAACATCATGCAGTCGAATTAACCCCTCATCAAACTGACAGATTGAATTCAATTGTGTCGTTATGTTAATTATACAATTTTCGTTACTCAATTGTGAGTTTCGTCTCATGGTCCAATTATATTGCCCGACATTTGGATTGGAAAAATAATCCCCCGAATGCCACACGAGCTTCAAAATTAATCGGGCATTTCCCTCAAGGTTCCCTGCATACAAACGAAGTCATCAAGTTTTTCAGAAAAAATCACTCGTGCTTCGCACTCGTGACTTTTTTAACCTGAAAGACTTGACTCCTTCGGTTGTTTGCAACGAACCAATCGGAAAATACCCGATAATTTTGAAGCTCTTGTGGTATTACAAGTGATAATTTTTCTCACGAATTCTAACTCTGATGAGTGTAACAAAATGATCCATCAAATGCTTTCTTCAATTATTTTTTTATATAATACTCTATCGTTCGACTAGGATGTTTTGACATAACATAACATAACATGCCATTTCGGGCACGCAGAGACGTAACTTATTTATTACAAAAGTTTTACATTGAGGATAATTTTTATATTAGGCACAGAATTTTTATTAATTTTTTTATGATTTGTTGAAATTTTTTCTAGATTTTAATCTCCTCTCTAATCTCGAAAAGTTGAACCTTTCATAGGACTGTGTTATTTTTGCACTTCTAAATTAATTATTATCAATAATACTAGACTACTGATTAAACACAAACGCATCCAGTCTGTTTCTGTTCATGTAGATTTTCGATTAGAATGAATTTCAGATTTTAATCTTCAAAATTCAAATTATGTTTATACTACTTTAAGGAATGTCTCTTAAGAAGAAATAAATGATTAATTCAAAATTCATTCTTCAATTATTTTTCTAAGCAGTAGTCTATCGTTCGACTAGGATGTTTCGACATAACACGCCAATTCGACCACGCAGAGACATAAATTATTTATTAGAAAAATTTAACACTGACGATAATTTTCGTATTGAGCATAGATTTTTTATTTATTTTTTTTGATTTGTCGAGATTTTTTTCTAGATTTTAATCTTCTCCCTCATCTCGAAAAGTTAAACCTTTCATAGAACTGTGTTATTTTTGCACTTCTAAATTAATTATTATCAATAATACTGGACTACTGATTAAACACAAACGCATCCAGACTGTTTCTGTTCATGTAGATTTTCGATTAGAATGAATTTCAGATTTTAATCTTCAAAATTCAAGTTATGTTTATACTACTTTAACAACCGATTGATCATTTTTTCATAGGAGTCAAAAAATAATCTATTTTTCTACATTTAATGGAAAAACAAGATTTTAATTTCAAAAACTAACTTTCAAGTGAATTGGCTCATCCCGTTTTCCCGCTTCGCTTTTCAAATTTGCGCGAATTATTCATGCAACGATTGGGCAGATAATTTTCTCTACCACCCTTCTAATAATTAATAATTCAATTGATGTTGATTACAGGGACTGCGATACCCTGACCCATCTGCTCAAAGCATCGCTCGGTACTGGAATATTAGCGATGCCATGTGCATTCAGGAGTGCTGGATTACTCGTCGGTGTACTTGCCACTTTATTCGTTGCATGGGTTTGCACGCACTGTGCATACATTTTAGTGAGTAATATACGTCACTATCAATGATAATTCTCCAACAATGTAATTCAATTTGAATGGCATGAATATTTTCGATTGTTTAAATAGGTGAAATGCGCACACGTTTTGTACCACAAAACGAGGAAGACTGAAATGAGCTTTGCTGATATAGCGGAAGCATCTCTGACGCATGGACCATCGTGCCTGAGGGGTTTCTCGAAACCTGCGAGGTAACATTTATTTTCCTTGAATTTTTTATAAATATCGAGTAATAATGCCCAATAATATTTTTCATCCAAATTTCAAATTGATTTGCAAACTCAAAACATTTGCTTAATATAAAAAAATCAATAATAATTATTTTTATGGGAATTCTCCATTGTTATTGTTTATTAATTCACGTCAACAGAAAGGAAAAATTATGAAACGACCAAGTTTTAAACGTCATTTTGTAATTTTATTACCTCCGTATGCGTTTGCCACTCGTAAAATCAACGAAATCGAAGACAATACAGATATTCCATCCATGGAATATTTTTGCCATATAAATCATTTGTTGTTAAAATTAACGATTCCTAGATAATTGTGAGATTAATAAAAATTACGCATCATTAACAGATGATTTCAGAGAAAACATCAGTCGACTTTTTTGTTGAGAAAAACTCAACAAAAAAGTCTGAAAATTTTTCGCCAAAATTTCTTCCAAAGATTACCTTCAAAAATTGAAGTGAAAGTGAAATTAAAGATATCCCAGTACATTTTCCAACTTTGTATGGACCATCCTACAGCTTTGGGGATTTTCAATCATTAAATTTGTCAATTCAATTGCGTGAGAAAATTAACAAAATGGGTAATCAGCATGATTCTAATGGTATCCGGTTAATTCATCCCAGGATAATTCATCCCATAACAGTTTCATCCCATTTTTTATTTTACATTATTACTGTTTGGATGGAGAATACGCTTGGCTGAAGCGCCTGACTTCTCGGGTTAATTTTCAAGTTTTGTGCTGATTCTGTAAACTGATGCTGTGGTCTATTACTTGTGGCCTATCTGGCCACTGTTAGTTGAGATGGATAAGAATGACCGTTTTTTTGCAATGTTTCTTGTTAATCCGTTGATCGGTTGTGTAAACAATATTAGGAGGGAATCGCGAAGTATCTGATTGATTTTGATGTTGTGTTTAGTGCCTTTTTCTGTGAAAATAACGTTAATATTTTTCTCTCCCTGAATTATTGTTGTGACCGTGAAAAATTCCATTGGAATTTGATGTTTGGGATGAAATTGTCGTGGAGTTGATTTGTTTTGGGATGAATTTGTTTGGGATGAGTCGTCTAGGACGAATTCACCTAGAAGCGATTCTAATTACATTTGGCAAAAATTACCACTTTGAATATATTTTTTTTATTTGACCATTTCTGAACAATTACAATTGAATTTACATAACGTATTTTTCGTTACAAACATGAGACCATGTGAACTATTTACAGATTTTGTGGTAGTTTAGAACTATTAACAATACACTTCAAATTTCGATGAAACATTTGAGAAGAAACTCGTTAACTATATAACAAGACAGTTTTTATCTAGTCTAATTAGGAATTCTCGTGCATAATATGGTGGAAAAATTTTTTGATTCATAAGTTTTTGAATCATTATTTGTGTACATCTACGTGAAAAGGGATGCCACTTTGTCGCATTTATTTAGCGAGATATTCACACCTATTTTTGTGTTCACACCTTCCATTTAAACCAATGTTAAACTGATTTTTTGATCTTCTATACCGACGTCATTTTTCATACTATCGTGTTAATTTTTGGCTCAAAATGTGTTGAATCTCACTAAGATTATCGGAATACACGTAACTCCAAACCGACAAAGTGGGCCCTTTTTATATAGATGCCCACATTTGTCTGGAATTATCGTAAAGCGGACATTGCCACAGGACGTGATCGATGTTTTCTTCTTCATAACTGCATTCGCATAGCGAAAATGCGATTATACAAATTCGTTCCAGTGATTTTGCTAAACTATAGTGATCAGCGCTGGCTCCATTCACCCATGAAATAATTTCCCTGGATAATTTTTTGCTCTTAAACCAGGGTTTTCTCCTTGCAGAATAATAATATTTGAAGAAGTTTTTACCCTTGTATTATCCTATCTCGGTAACCATAATGAATGTACCTTTTTGAATAATTCATTTTGAAAACCTTTTCTGCATGAAATTGATTCCTTGAAAATGGTTGCGACTCCTAAAAAATGGCTTGCACGGCAGAAAATTGATTATCCATTAATGATTTTGAAAGAACAATTTCCTAACCGTTCAAAATAGAGACACAAATTTAAACCTTCATATACAATTCAGTAGCGAAGTGGTAAAACGGTTTAAGTCTACTCATCTCCCAATTGAGTTTTTGAGGAATATTTCCAAATCTAAGGGAGATAGCGAAATTTTCGTAATTACATTTGTTATAGCTCTCAATGGGCTCTACAAAAAAGGTTATAACAAAAATTTTGATATCTCCCTTAGATTCTGAGATATTCGTTGAAAACTGGTCAATGGTCAAAATTGACTGATCTCCCCTTACCACTTCGTTACTGAATTAATTTTCTCGTAAAACTCTGTCTTATTTTTGCACTTCTAGATTAATTATTCACAATAATACTGGACTGCCGATTGAACACAAATTCAATCAGAATGTTTCTACTCATAGTAACTTTTGTTTAGAATTTATTTCAGATTTTAATCTTGTAAGTTCGCTACTGAATTAATAAAATTCTTGTAAAATTCTCAGTAACCTAGGTTCAAATTGCAACTGTTGAATTCAAACAAGAGAATCGTCAAAACTTAGATGTCCTCAAGCCATTTCGCTCTGTTTCGTCGAGTTCGTGGAAGACTAATAACTTCTCTTTCTTCCAGATACATAATCCAAATAAGTTTGTTCTCAACGTACTTCGGTACCTGCAGTGTATATGCAGTTATTGTAGCTGCGAATTTCCGTGAGATAATAAATCACTACATGTACCCAGCTATCGTCGCTGGTAATGCAACGGTAGTGCAGGCTGCCAACTCAACCATATCAACAATGGCGACTGGATCTTCAATTAATAAAATTGACGAGAGACTGACAATTGCGTGCCTTTTACTGCCACTGATCCTCTTATCTTGGATCCCAGATCTGAAGTATATGGCCCCCGTGTCCATGATCGCCAACATCTTCATGGCAACCGGTCTGGGCATCACCTTCTACTACCTCGTTATTGATCTACCTCCAGTGAGCTCATTGCCCCTCACGAGGCCCATCATGGAGTTCCCCAAGTTCTTCAGTCTTACTGTCTTTGCTATGGAGGCGATTGGTGTCGTTATGCCACTGGAGAATCAGATGAAAACACCTCAAAACTTCGTGGGTGTGTGTGGAGTACTTAGTAAAGGAATGTCCGGTGTTACACTTATTTATATTCTTCTGGGATTCTTGGGATACCTCAAGTTTCCAAATTCTACCAATGGAATCATCACTCAGGATTTAGATGTCACGAAAATGTAAGTGTAGATCAATTTGGATTCACATTATGGGAGGTCATTTGGGGAGAAAAGGGGTTCTAGAAGGCATAATTGGAGTGACATCTATCATGAATTGGAGAACGATTATATATGTCTGAAAATGAATAATTGGTGCAAAAAAATTAATTATCTGTTGTTCGTTTTCCCCGCTTAGAATGTACTAAATAGTCCACGGCCTCCAATTTTTCAGCTACAACGGTTTTTTTTAAAGTTTTGTAAAGAATGTGTACAATAACAATTATGAGTTGGTTTTTCTTAAATTTGGATCCTACGCAGCTAATTTCGATTTGTTTAATATAAAAATTTGCGCCATTCATGTAAACTGGGTAGAAAGATTATCTTTAAAATATTTAAAATATATTCTCTATTCTTTCAGAAACATGTTTCGGGCTATTTTACATGAATGGAGCAATTTTGTATTAACATCAAACGAAATTAGCTGTGTAGGAGTTGAATTTCAAAAAACTCATTCGTCATTGTTATTGCATACATTGTTTCAAAAATTGGAGGCTCTGGACTATTTCCAACATTTTAAGCGTCTGCGGAACAACTGAACATTAAAAAATGAATTTTTTTTGTACTAATTATTCGTTTTTTTTCCTATTTACTAAAGATGAAAGAAACGTGAAGTTGTTTTATATCGAAATATCTCGAAACTGCCTGACCGGTAATCCTTAATTCTGATTGGTCAATATGTGACACGAAGTTATTCACAAAAAAAACACGCGGCATTTTCAAATTCTTCAGTGGTAATTTTTTTTTTTCACGTCATATATATATATTTCACATGTATATATACCATCAGTGAAATTAATAAATTCTGTCCTTTTACGGAGACCAATTATTTTAAAAAATTGAAGATAATTAATTGAAAATGAAAAATTCTTTATATATTCTTTTACTCTACTTGGGGCTATTCACTTCAATCATTAGTCGAATTCTCTTTGATTCATTATCAATATTTATAAGGTATTCATGAGAAAATGAAATTTAATGAATTCCATTTCTTCATTTCAACAAATGAATAGATCAGCGCGCGCGAGAGCGCGCGCATAGATCTTGTAGACATATATAATCGATCTTCAATGTATGAGAAATTTAATTCCAATAACCCGCAACTTTTAAAAGTCATAGTAGTCTCCCCTGGAAATAAGAGAAAATTCCCTTTTATTGAAATGCAATTGATATTGGATTTCTGCGAAAATGACTGAGAACTGCAACTCTCCTCCGATTTTTAGAAAAAGTTCTCTTAGAATAAGTAATAATGACAGTGAAATCGTCGAATTTCTAATCGACTCTATTATCTACCTATTGTGTTGAGGTATTTTACATCGCGTATTATACTGTTTGGAAATATCAATAGTTTTTCTTATGCGGAAATGATTGATGTTTGTCTTTATCGAGTGATACTAGAATAACTGATGTTTTTTTTATAGTCCTGCTCAGATTGTTAAGATCGCAGTGGCACTCGCAGTATTCTGCACGTTTGCACTTCAGTTCTATGTATGCTTGGACATTGCCTGGAGTGGCCTCAAGGACCGTTTCACGAAGAAACCGCTCTTAGCTAATTACATTCTTAGGACTGGACTTGTAACTGGCTGTGGTAAGTTTCATACATTTTATTGAAAATTAATTCTCAAAATTGTGAAGGAGTATTGTGAGTACTTGACAATATTTACCTCAGAAAAGTATTTACTTCAAGAAAAAGAAAAGTATATTTATTTTAGAAAAGGAAAAAACCTGATGATTGAAGCTTCGCTCGGTTAGATCGCGGTTTTCGGGCCCCACGACATAAAATATCGTATGTCACACGGCGATAAAAGCATTATCTGGCGAATGTGATTATAATCCTCGCCTTCGGCTCGAATTATAAACTCACATTCTCCAAATAATACTTTTATCGCCTTATGACATAAGATACTACTTGGTCATTAAGGCCCGGCTGGATTATCTTTCGAACGTTATCTCGATTGTTTTTCCATCTTCATAAAGTAAAATATATTGCAATTTCCATTGGATTTTACATCACGCAGGAATCCCTAAAAATTATGATTGTTCAACCAAAAAAAGTAGAAAAAACTGAACATTTTCAAAGAGCGTTTTCAATAAAGATTAGGAAATAAGTCCGATAGAGAGGAAATAGTGAATGGATAATTTATCATGGTAATTAACGATCTGACAGCCATTGACTACTGTGACAAAAGATGACTTAACAACCATTAAATACATCAAATTATTAATTTGCAATTTCCTAACTATTGGGTTTATTTCCCAATATTATTCAAAAACGCTCTTTGAAAATGTTCAGCCTTTTTTCAACGTTTTTTTGATGGTACAATTATAATTTATGGAGACTCCAGGGCTATATAACACTGAATAGCAATTGGAGAACATTTCAGATTATCAAAATGAAAAAAAAAACAATCAAGATCACGTTTGAAAAATAATCCACTCGGGCCTTAAAGCATTAAATCATTAAGTCACTCGGATATCGTCAATACCAGAAAATTTCACGAATTCTCCAAATTGTCATTTTCCCTAGCAGTCTCCATTTAATAAAAATCATATTTTCTGTTTACAGTATTATTAGCTGTAGCTGTCCCCACAATAGCTCCCCTCATCAGTCTCATCGGTGCCTTCTGTTTCTCAATCCTTGGAATCTTAATTCCCGTAGCCATCGAAATAATCACATACTGGGACATTGGTTTCGGTAAATACAACTGGATGATCATGAAGAACGTCGTAATTGTTTTCATCGGCGTGATGGCACTCATATTCGGTTCTAAGGACGCCATGGAAGGCATTATAGAAACATATGCACCTGCAAACAAATAGTTCAATAAGGAAATTCAATCACTGATTTCTCATTCACCACAATGACCCGAGGGGAATGATAAGAATATTCAGGCATTCTGCGTTGATTCAATGCAATCGCCGGGGCTCTTACAACCAATTAATTTAGATTTACAATCTAGGATAATAAAGACTCTTCGCTCATGGTATTAGTTGAATTTTAGATTTATCATTCGTCAGTTCTTCAATTGCGTCATTGTCATCGTTTACAATGAGAATATATTTTTTATTGACTTGCTGTTGAGTGAATTTGGACAAAATCGATAAGCATTTTTTAATTATATAAATAATAGGTAGAGAAATTGAATGTTAATTTGCTGATTCAAAAGTAAAGTGCAATTTTTAGTTTAAAATGTAACAATCATTGTTATTTATCCATTGGATGCAGTGCCTGGAGGTTTTTTTCTAACACAATTATGACCAATGATTCAATAATTTTTTAATCAGTTTGACTAACACAATGTTGAATTAACTTTTTAGTAAGCGATTGAATTCTACAAAGAAATCGTTTGTTATTTTTCCTCAAATTGTTCGTCGAAGAGGTAATTTATCAAGAATGATCCCAGAATTGAACAGCTTTCATGATTTTATTATTGAATACAGCATTTAGAAGCAGCGGGATATATTTGTCCTTCGACTGTTTACGATGATAAACATTCAGAGATGTGCATTACCGAGAATAAAACGCATGCTTGAAGGAAATGAACGCAATAGGCTTGTAATTTTGTATATGGTGCTCCAAAGTTGAAAACGAAAATTGGATTTTAGAGATGACAAGAGACTACTGCACGTTCTCGAATCAGTAAGAAAATACTCGATTGTTTTCTGGTAATCGTCACGAATCTCTGCGCCAACTGTGTACATAATTTTTTCTACAATTTTAGATCCCTTCGAATTTTGTTGCTACTGTCACCATAAACAAAACATCGTCGGTTCAATACAATGAAAGTATTAGATTATCAGTTCATGCAGGAGTTCAGTTATTTATCAGCAAATACTTCATGTCAATTGGATAATTTTTCTTTCGATACTTAAAGTTTTGGAATTACATGTTGAATACGTTTTATTTTATAAACGTATATCAACTTGACCAGTATTCGAAATTAAGGAAAGTAATCTTTATACTATTCTGAAACGAATACCTATGACCAATTTTATGGTGATTATTAGGAATCAAATGAAAGTTTATGGTACGTGTGAAACAAAAAATATTGTTGTCAGATGATTTGTTAAGAATAATTTTTAATATTAAAATTACAGTATGAAGTAATTATTGGTGTTTTTCTTATCCCTTGTCATTACACATTTGAAATTTATCTAAATAATTGAATTCATGGAAATTCTCAAGTATAACGAGTCCATCGCAATGCAATTTCTTTTTAATTACATGATTATATTGACCCACGATTTTTATTCTGACGCTTGTAACGCTTAATCTGTCTCTCGTGACCCTTATTCTGACCCTCATAACCCTTATTCTTACCCTCAAGATCCTTAATTTCGAGAACCAAATTTTTGTCACCAGAAGTCGATTTGGATTTTTATAATATAGAGAGATACAACCGTTTCTGAGGGAAAATGTCGAAAGATTTTCTTCGTCGTTGATGAAATATAGTCCATAGTAAAGCTCTTTTGACATTTCATTTTAGCATTTTTTGTTGCAAAGATGACCGAACAATTAACTTCATTCGTTGCAGTAAGTACAACGGTTCTGGTCATGATTTTTATTCATTAGTTTCGAAATAAATATTTTTTTACAGAAAAATGGCAAAAAAATGTTCTTATAGCTGAGTCAATTTTTTTACTTTGCCTAGATGATGAAATTGAAGTTGAATGAAGTTGATAGGGAGAACAAAATTGAAAGGATAGTTTTAATTGTAAGTAATTTTCTTTCATTATTGAGAAACTGAAAAGTTTGAGGAACAAAGATTCTCCACAAAAGAGATGTTTTGAGAATTTGTCAATGATTTGATGAATCTGAATTTGAGTTCAATGTGCTTCAATTAAGTAGGCAATGCCTTTCTTCCTTTTTCGACGAAGATGCAACTTACAGCCAATAAACCCGACGTATCGAATGTAGTGATATGAGAAAGTTTAGATGAAGTTTCCGCTATAGTTCTTGAACATTTTTGTCAAGTGCCAGTTCCACTGAAATTGCACAGAATTTCATAATTAAAAATTCACAATTCGACGAAAGAATCGATGGAAATTGTAAATTTTAGTAAAACTATTGCCTGAATATTAATAGACATTATGAAACATAATTTAGGACTGAATATTCATGGTGTTGCAGTTGAAAATTCAAGAATATCGGAGAATCCTCGTTTTCCTGTTGCTCAAAAAATTGGAATTTCATCGGTTTCAGAAAAATTTTAGATTTTATTATTTTCCCCTTAACCCGTCACGTACGGATCGGATCACCCCTGGATCGACCCATGCGAATGTGAACGCTTGTTTTCAAATTTATAAAGAATAACTGGATCAAACAAACAAAATTGGAAACCGAAATACTGTAGCCTCAATTAGATACCGGTTTAATAATTTTCAATTCATTAGAAATAATCGAATTAAAGTTGTATTGAGTACACACTACGCTTGGTAACAGAAGGGCCCCGTCCGTGAGGGGTTAAATCAAAATCAATGTCGTTCTCCAAAAAATTACGATTAAATTTAAAACTTCTAACAGTGGAAATCAATATTTCCGGAGATGAAATAGAATTGCAATGATTTGCTCGCATGAACCTCCACAGATATCTCCACATTTTTCTGCGCAAATTATTTTGCTTGAACAAGGAAATTTTTCAGACTCTAATTATGATAATGACGCTGACGTTCTTACGCTAACAACATTATTGACGATTTCCACCTTCGACCGGGGTCACGTAATCTTTTTTCCATGGAAGTCATGGACTGATGATAACTTTTATAACCGAGTAATAATCGACGATCAATGAAGTAATGTACATTAAAGAAACGAATTTATATTCGTTCCACATCTTTGTGACGTCATAAGAAATGATTGGATGGGATTTGGATGAGGTAAGAGGGGAACCGGGACTATTCTCAATATGAATCCTCTGTAAAAAAATTGGTGTTACTTTTTTTGTCAGCAATCTATTTCGCCAGTGATATACTTAAGCTTAAGAACAAGGATAATCTTTCCTTAAGATCGTAGATTATACCAATCTTTTTTTATATTCCTTTGAAAAAATAGATTTCCTGATATTTTTTCTATTCATATCTATTTTATGGCACGGTTGCACCAAGCCTTGTTATTCAAATAAACCCCAGAGTAAAATTCAGTAGCGAAGTGGTAAACCGGTTTAAGTCGACTCATCTCTCAGTTGAGTTTTTGAAGAATATTTCCGAATCTAAGGGAGATGGCGAAATTTTCATTACAACAGTTGTTGTAGCTCTCAATCGACTCTACAAAAAAGGCTATAACCAAAATTTTGCTATCTCCCTTAGATTCCGAGATATTCATTGAAAACTGGTCAATAGTCAAAATTGACTTGTACCGTTTTGCCACTTCGCTACTGAATTTATCCTCGGGGTCCTAATTTTTCAATAGTTGATCCGAATCTTTGAAATGATAATAATTTCACATAAATCAGGTAATCCTTCCGGAGATGGACAATACTACTTCAGAAACTTCAGTAGAGAAGAGGTAGAAAAGAGAGGTATTAAATAGGGATGTCTCATCTGCAAGTAAGATTTGATGAATTGTCTCGTTAACGAGTAATTTCAGAAGGAATTACCTTTTTCCATCCTGAATTTTGTTTCCAAAAAAAGTTCTCCTATATTTTCCACGAAGACGACTCGTTTCTGGAATCCTTTAGTTGGAAAGTGGTGGAGCAGTGCGAGTAGAGCCATCACAATATCACATTCACAAATTTCAATTACGGAGTGAGAAGCGACGCGGCAAAATGGACAATTTTAAGTTTTTTCAAATTTTTAATGGCTATTTTCACTAATTATTGGTATGGTTTTGTATCTTCAAAAATTTAATTTTGCTGAGGCTTCTTATATGGCTTTTTCATCATTCAAAAGGCCTCAAAATTGTTTTTTTCAAATTTTATTATGCCCACAATGTTCATTTTTTAATTTAGGGTGTTTGTGACAAAATTTTGCGTCTGAGCGGAGGTAATTTTTTTCAGGTTTTTAATATGTATTTCTCACGGAAATTTTCCGTTCTTTCGATTAAGCATGGTGTCAATTAGCTCACATAGTCACAAGTGACTATTTTTACGAAATATTACAAAATCAGACTGGGACTCGGATCCGGATTTTTTAATTCCACAATTCATTATTTATGGTCCATAAATGGTCGATGAATAATAAATTTTGAAATGAAGAAACGAAAAAATGAAAAATTGGGAAAAATAAAAAAAAAATTGAAAAAAAAAATGTTTTATGTGCAGTTGAAATAGCCTCTTTCGGTAAAGAAATAAAAAAATACCCAATCGAGGTGGGGGAAGGGGTTACCACGCACAATTTTCTACTTTTTTGGCGATTTAAAAATATGTCCGACGATATGAGTTAATTGACACTATACTGAATCGAAGGAACGGAAAATTTCCGTCGGAAATACTTAGTGAAAACCCGAAAAAAAATTGACCTGTGCTGAAACACAAAATTTTGTCAAAACTGACAAAACTGAAAAATTAACGTTGTCGGCGTAATAAAATTTGAAAAAAATTGAGAAAATATTTTTTAGCCCTTTTGAATGATAAGAAAGTCAAATAAGAAACCTCAACAAAATTAGATTTTTGAAGGTACAAAACCATACCAATAACTGGCGAAAATACCCTAATAACTTATGGAACTGTGAATGGAATGTTTTTTTTTTTCAATTGAAAGGACATGTGTTCCCTTCATAATGACCTCGGACTAGGTACAACCAATTTGTTTCTGAGTTATGAAAATTTGAAAAAACAAGTGGGAAATTGCATTCGTCTTTGTATAGATTGTTTTGTACACTTTTTTTTTCATTTAATATTTTGTACAATTGAATTAGAGTTCTTCACGAAAACGAATGATTCGAGAAGAAATTATCGAAACTGTTTTCGATCGTAAATTCTCTCAGCAAAAAATGTCTGGTGCTGGACTAAAAAGTATGGTAATTTTGAAGACATGAAAAATACTTCTTTATTCTTACACGAAATTCCTTAACATTTGAGAGATAGAATGGAAATTTACATAACTTATGAGGAAAATGAGACTTACGTTACTTGCTTCTCATGACTTATTCTAAAATGAAAAATTTGTAATGACTGATGATCACAGGAAAACCTGATCAAGTCGTCAACGAGGTAATCAAATGGACTGCAACTCGAATATTTTCTTCATTTCTCAAGAGGAGCGTAATTCAGCAATTTCTCAATGAGATCCACGTGTCCCAGCAGCATTCTGCGACAGCAGTATCTCTTCAATCCCAAGGCATCCAAAGCATCACTGCAACATTTTTGAAAATCATAATTAATGAAGGGATTATTCACACTTTCCAAATTTCTTTAATTTCATTTTCAGATTTAGACATTTATCTATGAAAGTCGTGGACTGAAAAATTGTAATTTTATAAATTTTTGATGTTGGAAGCGTATTATTCATGAATAAACTCTACTAACTTGACAGCAATCTTCCACATAAGAAATTTATTGAATTTTTTTTTGAAGTCTGAGAGAATTCTATTGAAGCTTCGATTTCGATTGAAGATTATGCAACTTCGCCGGAGGTTTTTCATTGCATATGTTTTGGGAGTTTTTTACAAGAATTCTTGGACCTGAACTTTCCAAATTTCGAGTCGAATATTTAAAAATAAATATTGAAATCGGCTGAGAGTTGGCGACGGGATATTCACGGTCGGGACCTGTGGTTCTTCTTTCTGGGCGACATGGTGGAAACAGCCTGAAAATGGACGTGGCCCCTCTTCACCTATTAAGTCCCTGCACCTCATTAGAAGGGAAAAAGACTTCGAGCTAGGGCAACATGCTACACTTTATGTAGTCTTTGTATTTTGTTTTTTGTATTTTTGTAATTGTACCTCGACATAGAATAAACATAGACACGGTAAACTGTTAGGCTGAATCACAGTTTGTTAACTACTTTCGCAGGAAATATATGTAGAAAATATGTAAACTGTTAAGATTAAGTTTAGAATGTTGGCTGTGTATGTGTTCATGTTTTTGTTATGAACTTGTTTGTGAACTTTTGAATTTTATGCAATGTACACTGTACAGTGTACATTGATATCTTAAGGGGAAATGGGAA